CGCGTCCCGGGGTGGGCGCGTTGCGCTGTGTCCTCCCCCGCGCTGGGCTCGGTGACGGCGAGGCCGTTGTCCTGCCTAGAGTTGTGCCCCTCACTCCGGGAGTTCGCGGGTGACCTGTGTCTGGAACAGTGGCTTGCCGCGCTGGCTCAGCCCAACACGGCTTCTCCCGGACACCTGGGGCGCATACCTGGGGCGCTGCGGAGGAGGGATGAGAAGGCCGGGCCACCAGGAAAAGGCGCTGGCTTGCTGGTTAGGACTGAACTGCCTTAGGCCCTGGCTGGAAATCAGAGCAAGTCGGTGCGCCAGGCTCTGTCCACCGCCACTTCCCTTTGTTTCCTTGAAGAAAACTGATGCCGCTGGATAAAATGTTCTCTAATGGATCAGGATTACACAGTGTATCCGCGACAAAAAGGGCTTGGAATCCTTAGTCTGAACTGTAATAAAGTGTTAAAACAACGAAAGACACGAGTAATTGGTTGATGAAACATAACATGTTTCTGTTTCTGCTATAGAATTAAAGTGTTGTGTGCAGGTACTTAGCGCCCTTTGTCACTTTCCAACCTGGATGGACTGCACGTGGACGTGGAGACCAGTCTCCCATTTCCCTTTCCTAAATTAACGTTTGGCCTCCCTGCACAGAACTTCTCTGAAAGGCCTCGATGGACCTTGTTTAAGGAAGTTGTTACTTTCTCTGCATTTTGCAAGATTCCTAAGGGGAAGGAGTAGTTAAGTGACTGCTTAGACGAGTAACCTATTTATTGCCAGCACAGTGACAGGTCCATCAAGACCAGTTCAGAGATCTTGATGTCGTAGAATTGTCGTAGATTGGTAGAAGTCAGATCAAGATTACAGGGTAACTCTCCTGTAGTTTTACACAATCTTCATAAATAATGCATGCATGCGTGAAAAAATCCACACATTCTAGATGGAGCTAAATCTTGACACCATCCCTGATCCATCACTCTCTTCTAAGGTGTTGATATGTAATCCTCCAGGCCATTCCACACACAAACCCTTGTGTTTACATACATACATGTTTGTAGAAACACGTGAGGATCCCCATTTTTAAAACCACAAAAGGTTATCCATATGTATAGTTTACACCTTCTTAACTTTTTAAACATTTCGTTGAGAATATATGCAGCAAAACACGAGTTCAACCGCTTCTACCTGTAGCAGTGCATTCTTGGAGTTACACCACTATGCTCACCCTCCCTTTCTGGGTTGTTTCTCCCCATTAACATTAATAAAGTTCTTGCAGCCCAAGGTTCCCATTTAATAGTACCAGTTGCTGTTGGCCCCATGTAACATCAAGATGCTTTATGATTCATGACCATACAGGACAGTAAAGCTGCTCCTTCAGGTTTCTGAGACTAGATTGTTACGAGAGCTGACTGACTCATCTTTCTGCAGAACGGCTGGTGAATTGGAACCGCCAATTTTGCAGTTCGAAGGCCAACACTTAACCACCAGGGTTCCTTCTGTCCCACGAAGATAGTTCTTAAAAGAGTATAATGCTCAAGGAGGACATTTGTAAAACTAGTTAAGGTCAAATACTGTGTGGTCCTTAAGACTTGAAGGGATTTTTTTCGTTTCAGTTTTTAAAGGTTACTTCTTCAGGTGCATCAAGCCTCCCTGGAGCAACGTACATGCTGAAAAAATGAAGAATGGAGGTCAGTGCACAAAGATTCACCTGTGACTCATCTCGTCATTCTTCACCACCATAGGACATCCCACAGGCTGGGGGCTCGTCGATCACGGACATAGAACGTGTCGGTTCAGTTCTACAAAGATTGATCTTGCTTATTTGCTACCACCTCAGTTATTTACTATTTCTTTTCTTTTTTAATTATTTTATTGAGGGCTCGTACAATTCTTATCACAGTCCATACACACATCCATTGAGTCAAGCACATAGTTACACCTGTTGCCCTCATCAGTCTCAAAACATTTGCCCTCTACTTTAGCCCTCAATATAGTTTGCTCATTTCCCCCTCCCTCCCCCCTATTTACTACTTCTTGGCCACTATCGAGTAGATTCTTTGTATCCATTTCAAACGGAAAGGACAATTTAAGCACTTCCTGGCCCCCTGTGACATGCAAGCACTGTGGTGGTGTGGGGTTAGGTGGGGTTAGGCTGTCCAGTCGGACGTCGAAGGACCTTATGTCCAAGAGAATGAAGCATTGCTTGGTTCTGCGCCATCCTCACAGTTGTTCTTAATGTTTGAGCCATCGATGCAGCCAATGCGTCAATACTCTTGTTAAAGATCTTCCTCTTTCTCACCGCCCCGTTACTTTACCAAGCATGATGTCTTTCTCCAGGGACTGGTCTCTCCTGACAACGTGTCCAAAGTATGTGAGATGCAGTCTCGCCACCCTTGCCTCTAAGAAGCACTCTGGCTGTAATTCTTCCAAGACAGATTGGTTTGTTCTTTTCACTGTCCGTGGTACTCTATGTTCTTCGCCAGCCCCACAATTCAAGTGCATTGAGTTTTCTTCTGTCTTTAGCACCGTGGGAGGTTCTGGGAATTTAGGGGTGGGATTGTCCCTGCACTCAAAAATCAGTCTGATGGGAAGTAAATATGTTCATAGCCTCCTGCACTATTAAAACCCTATTGACAATGGGGATACCCAGAAAGTCGTCTTCCCTGGCTCCGGAGAGTAACTTCCACCCCAGCATCCCCTTGGTGGGAGCACAGTCTAGCCACAGCTGTGGGGAAGCTGTTCGTGCTCTAGGCCTGGTTATTTGCCCCCACCCTTATCCCCAACCCCCTGGGAGGTACAGCAGGTGCAAATGCTCTGGGGAGTCACCTGCTTTGTTCTTTGACCAGAGAGGAGAAGAGCCAGTTTCACAAGAGCAAGTGGTCAGACCAGGGGGGGATTTTTTTAAAGTGTAAACGACCCAATTGACCGAGGCAGCAGAATCCACTAATTATTTTCCTGAATAAGTTGCCCTCCACAAGGTGTAGACACCCAAGACAAGAACGTTGCTGGATATGCGCCAAACGGACAGGATTCAAATGAACTCATCTAGCAAGAGCATAAGCATATGTTATAAGCCAGGCAGATTATGGGATGGATGAGGGCAGTGATAATCAGGGAGAACACCTGAAAATTCAAATTTAACTTGTCGCCCAGCAATCCCATTCTGAGGCTCATCCTAACCAAAGCATGCATGTTTTACCAAGAGACTGGAACGGCTTTATGCTAATGGATCCTAGTTGAAGCTCCCCGTTAAAGAGTTCAGTGGCTAAATAAATGGTGAGAGATGGGCCCAATGGAATTCTAGGTAGTGGTGAGGAGGACTGGTCTTACTACCGCCAATAACCTAAACGGACCCCACAAATACTATTGCGTGAAAGAAGCCCAGTGAGTAACTGTGAGACAGAGAAGACAAAGCTACCCTGCTCCGAGTCAGGGTAGTGCGGACCCTTGCGGGGAGGGAAGATGTATAAAAGGCACAGAGATGGCTTCCTGGGGTTCTGGCAACCTGTTTGTAATGCTGGTGGTAAAGACCGTGTCCAGAGTATGAAACTCTGATGATCATACAGCCTGGGTGCTGTTTTGCCTGTATGCTATACTTCGATAAAATTTTTAAAAGTTTGCCTTATTTTATTGCTCATTATTGCGCATCCCACATAGAAGGTGTGAGTCTGATTCTGCTGTAACCTGGGCCTGGGAGGTATTCTTCACCAGGAGAAGTAAGCGGCACCTGGGTGAGTTTTTCCATAGCTAGGTTTTAGAATTACCAAAGAAATCGTCACTGAA